CTAAAGTGTTTTTTTTTGTGAAGGGGAGGGAAAAAAATTACACACAGAATAGCGTGTGTCTTCATTTCAAGGTCGTTTTCTTTCAAAGACGTAAAATTGTTTTATTAATACATACGTTTTAAATATGACGTTTTATTTTTATATACACGTACACAAAGAATTATATATGTGGGACGACTTTGTGTACACGCAAGTCCCGAAAACTGTTTGAATGCAACGGTCGTTAAGATTTTTCCAAAACTTGGGAAAATACTTGATAATTTACAACCGCTCGCTTGTCTCGTTCGAGTTTTTGCATAAAAACGCCGAAAAGGGTGAAAAGGTTTTCCGACGCGAAGACAAAAGCCGAACCGTTATGTAGAAAGGAACTGAACCAGTTCGAAATACGGCAATAAAGTTTTTTTTATATTTCTGAAAAAAAGGACATAAAATACTGCGCCAAACAAAACTGTCCTTTATGAATAAGTCCTGTTACATTTCGGTATGTACATTTACCCTCCCCGGAGTCCTTGCGGATGCAAATTTCAAATTCCCGCTGTCCGATTTTACGGCTTTTTCGACAACATCTCTGGAGACGTTGTGCGTGGATGACGATTTTGTAAAATGTTCACGCCGACAGCACGAAGTAACAGACTCAGGTACAGTTTTAACACGTTTAGCAGTATCTCTCGCTCGGAATCCACACTAGGAAGAACAAATGATTCACCAAATTGAATCGCCGCTCGTTCGTAAAACAATTAATTAATTTCCGACACGCGACGCGGGAATATTTCGCTGTTGTCGCAACGTATTGCATGTTGCAACAGCGACAGCACATTTCCAAAACGCTGTTCCTCTCTTCGCGCAACGGTATGATGGGCGACGCTTTGGTTGCTCTTTCGAGTTATTGCTGTGCAACTGGTTTTTTTTTCGTTCTTTGAATTTTAACAAGAACGCATTTTTTTTCCAACCGTCGTTATGCTAATAAGACGGCAAAACTACGGGAATTGTTACCGCGTTGCGAGCTAACTCGATGACAATGAGCGATCACGTGTTCGAAATCCGACGAAAATGCGCGATTATTCGCGCATGTCTGTTTACGTAAAACAGCCGGATTTTTATCGATCTGTTTACGAGTTTGATTCGCTGTTGCTCCTCTCCCCTCGATTCGAACGCGATGTGTAATTCGTTGCCTCGCGTGTTTCGCGCGAAAAGAACCGCAAGAGAGGACGTAGAAGCGGAGATAGAGCATCCGTTATTAAAAATAAAAAAAAATAAAAAAAAAAAAACAGTAACGCGCTCTTCCCCGTTTCCTCTCTCGCTCGCAAAAAAAAAACATGTGTCTCATTTGTGCAATTATGACACAAAGTACCGCGAGAGACTGACACGATTTTCTTCCCAAGCCGCTAGTAAAATTATCAAGAAGGTATCCTCTCTCGCTACTTATTACGAATAAAAAAAAAAAAAAAAACATCTCCATTAAGATACGCAGCTGAGAGACGGAAGTTCAAGACGAGCTTTTTGCACAATCTCCTTCTCTCTCTGGTCGAGATTAGCGTAATCCGATTCCCCGCCCCTATAACGGCTCGAGCAAGGAAGATCTAATAATTACGAGGAATGATCGAGAGGATACAAATCACGAGAGAGGTAAGTGAAAGCCGCCGCATATCACGGACACCCTTCGATCGTTAACGTCGTAACAAGCGAGCCGTCGAAGAAAGAGCCGCGCCGGATTTGGTTGCGCGCGAGAGATGTGCTCACACACTAATTCTCTCATTACAGACCGTTTGCCAGACGCGTTTAACGGCTTGTCGTAGAGACACGGCGAGCGGAGGGAACGTTCGCGTGACGCAATCTCGTCGCAATGTTTTGAATAATAATTCCGAGATTTCCATCTGTTCGATCAAAAACATCGCATTTCCGAAGACGTTTCGCGACGTTAGGGATAAAAATTTGAATAAAAAAAAAAAAAAAAACGTCGAAGATCGTATCGAATCCGATAATTTTTCGTATTCGTTCCATAAAAATCTCAAAGGCAAATGAGATTGCGAAACTCGGACGCGATTAATATAAAAATCCGATTCATAAAAACTCTATACTCGGAGATACGCCGTTTCGCCGTTTATCGACGTGGCAGACTTCCGACAGGAATTGTCACGTGAGAAACAGCGCGTGCATCACACATCGATCATCTTTACAGAGTGTCTATATGTAAATCGACTCATCGAAACACGTCGGGACCCGATTGAATCACACGCGATTTCGGTCCGCGCGTTTGCCCGTAGTTGGCGCGTACGGAGCCGCCGTGCCGACACAACGCGAAGAAACGAGCGAGATTCGTATTACTTGACGAGCGAATACGATAATGAGACGAGCGCGAGCAAAAGAAGAAGCCTCGAGGCTTTCTTCGTCATCGTCGTCGTCCCACACGTCGTCTCCTCTTCTCTCACACGGCAGGGGGGATCTCCGAAAATTTCAACGTCATGCGATCCGTGCATTAACGAATAGTCCGATCCTTACGCGCGATTGCCGCGTATACGGACGACGGCTAATTTCAGAGGCCCGTTCGGGACTGGCCGTTTGGGCAGACGAAGCGCGAACAGTCGATGAAAATTCTCGGATCTGAGACACGCGATGCGACGATGATCGCGCGTGCGAACTCGCCGCGCTCGCGGCGATACGCGGCGCGAATTAGGAAAAACAGAAAAATTAAAATTAAAACTAAAATAAAAACAAAAAGAAGTAAAACAACCGCGCAATATTGTCAATTTTCTTAATAAAATTAAAAAAATTACTTGTAATAACGAAATTTCAGGCTCTACTCGTGTTTCAGCGACAAAACGTGTGAATAAAAAAAAAAAAAAAAAAAAAAAAAAAAAACGAGCGCTATAGAGATAACGAAGCGCGTGATAAATTTCATTCGATAAAAAGGAACTTTTCACGCTGTTATGCTGAATAGCCGACGTAATATGAACGATGACGCGTCAGATGTTGTTGGAATAATATTTGTCGCGGAAGCAAAACGCGTCAAATTACAAGGCAATATCGAGGGAAATGTTGCGGCGCAACTTTTTTTTTTCTGTCCTCCTCTCCGGTGAACACCTGACAGGTTCGCGTTTCTCTACGGCATGAATCACTGACGAGAGTCCGTCGATCCTGACGAGAATGGAAGGGTGGCCGGAGCTTATCTCGTAAATGGCCAACCCAGGTCGGATCTAGTGCGCGTGCCATTGGCAGTGAAAAACACACGCACGCGTGCTTCTCCTTTTACGAGACGAAAACGACATCGATTGCTTAATCTTTCCTGACGAGGAGGAGAAGCAAAACAACCAATCACAGAAAAAAAAATAAATAAAATAAAATAAACGGAATTCGATTTATTAAAACTCCTCGATAACATCACCACCGTGTCACACGTGCCGGTCTCATTAGAATTTCAAATTCTAACGTCGTGTTTGCGCGACGCGAAATGAAAGACGATCGAGCAATGTTTACAAACAGATTCAAGTAAAGAAAGATTGAGATTTGTATAAAAAACAAGTTAAATTCCGAAGTTCTTGTTTGTACATTTCACAAAGTACATGAATAATTCAGTATCTGCGAGAAATATAAATTAATGTTTATTTTAAAACTTTGTTTTTAGAATCAAGATGCATAAATTATTTACGTTCAAGTTTGCAATTTATCTTACATAAACCGCGTATTGTTTATAGATTATTACGAATAAAATTATTGCCACTATAAACAACAACGGATAAAATATTAGGCAGTTTTGATCTAAATTATGTCCGCAAAGATTTCGGCGGACGTAATGTTTTTTGCTGTGTATTTGGAAGTTTTTTTTTCAGGATCAAGATGTATGTACAAATTACTTATTTCGAAGTTCGCGATTTATCTTACAACGCGTCGTGCGAGTTTATGGATTATCGCGAATAGAATTATCTGCAAACAACAACGGATAAAATATTAGGCGCGGTTTTAGCAGAAATTATGTTTTGAAGTTTTTAGGATCGAGGATCGAGTTTTTAGGATGTATAGTGTATATATATAAATTTAGTTTGCGATTTATCTTGTATGCACGTTGTTTACAGATTATTGCGAATAAAATTATCATCACTAGAAATAACAAAAACATATTGGATAAAATATTGGGTAGTTTTGGCAAAAATTATGTCCGCGAAGAATTCGGCGATAAATTCACGGCGATTACACGTATGTGCTGCCGAAGTTCGTTCGTAGCTCAGCGTCCCCGTTCGGATTACTCTGACTTTTTCGCTCTCTCTCTCTCTCTCTCGCTCCTGAGGAGCGATCTTACGTTACGCAGCGCGGGCACAATCGATTCTTCTTCGGCCGGCGGTCTTAGGTCTCAGGAAGTGGTTTGCATCTGACGCGAGGTCACGACGTCAACCGAGACCTCGGGTGAGCGTTTCCAAGAGAAAGGGAGAGATCGAAGCCTTCACATTTAACCGCGACGATTCCCCATTTTTTAGACAAACAAAATTCTTAGCAAAGGAGAAATCACAGACGTATTAATCACTTTTATTTGACTTCGCGTATTTCAAAAATTCACTATCGATTTCGATTGTAAAAACGTTCGCGAGCTTTAATTTTTCACGCGTTCTGGGATTTTTAAGTGTGTCTCAAAATCCTCAGCGAGAACTTTCAGTTATAAGTCTGTTAAAATTGCATTCGCGAAACGAAAGCCGAGGAATAAAATTTTCTTACGTGCGAACATTTATAATGGAAGAATTATCGATGACACACAGAAGAAACGGGATATATATCTCTCTCCATTATATTCGGATTAGACACGTAGATGGTTACAAAGTCATTATCTCTCGTCCAATATCGAATCGTCTTATTTCTGCGTCAGTAATAATGCAATTTCTTCGATTTTGAACGAATTACGCGATAATTTTGCGAATAATTTCGAATCGCAAAACACAGAATCGTCACAATCGGTGTGACAAAAAATCTCTGCGTTCAACAATCGAAAGAAAAGCTTTCAGAGAAAGACTCACCCTTCTGCAGTTGACCATGGTCCGCGTTCATTTTCGCCTGCAACAGAAAGTGCTGCGCTTCACCAAGTAGAATTAGCACGACGGTCATGTATATGAAATAGGCCACTAAAATATTTCGAAGTGGGTTGTCTCACCTCGTAACCTTGTTTCGCGCCCCGGCCGCCACCCCAGTAGTCGCTTTCCTTGTCGTGCGGGGCGCATTGCTGTAACACAGAAAAAGAGAGAGAGCACGTTAGAGACGTTGAGTGTCTTCAACTTCAATGTTGTTAATCATTTTGCAGAATGTAAAAAAAGTAAAACCAAAACGAATATCTTCGCTAATCGATTGTAACTAACAATATATTTTTTTCCCGCTTTCCTCTCCCTCTGCTCTCTCGGAGAGAAAGACGCAATTAAAAGAGGGGAGGCATAAATGCACGATATTGTCGAAATATCGTGTATCTTCAGATTGGCGCGCATATGCTTCCCCCGTTTCGTTCGTCGTAAATTACCCCCGACGTTCCGCTAATTATCGTCCGCCTTCGGAGATTCAAAAACGCGCTTCCGCACGGGATTAATCGGCGGACCACGCCACCTTGCGATGGTCCAACGGCACGCACAGAGAGAGAGAGAGAGGGAGAGAGAGAGAGAGAGAGAGAGAAAGAGCGACCGCAAGAGCCATCGAAGAATGACCCCGTTTCCCTTCCCACGACCCTCGAAACCACATCCCCCGGCATGACCTTCCGCACCTCGACGAAGCTAGCGCCAGGTCGCGTACACACGCCACCCCTATAGAAATTCGGAGCGGATTCTTTTTCTCTCTTTCTCTGTGCCTCTAGTAAACCGAAAGTTCGAACCACTACTTTCTTCTTTCAAGTTAGTTTTGATCCGGCGGGAATACTCCGGGCAAATAAAGAGGATTTGAGCGCGGAATACGCGATATCCGCGAAAGCGACTCATTACGAACGATAATTCGTAAACGTCATAGTGTCTGTCTTTGTTGTATATTCGCGCAATATAAAAAAACACGTCTGTGCGAGCACAACGATATGAAAATTTGCGCCGTGAGACGCGCGACAGCCGTGAAAAATCAAGTTCATTCGCGCCGCGCAATATGCGAAAAACGTATTTGAGTCAGGACGATTTTTACGGCGGCCTCGTAAATATGCGCGACCGTAGGTCAGGGAGAGATCGCGACGCGGGTTGAGCGAACGTCGTATGTGTCGAAAAAGGGAACGAGATTATGTATGTCCTGGAGAAGGACCCGGGGTGAAAGTAGCCCTTTCTGTGCCACAGGTGGCTCGTCAAACGAACCGATCTGTCGGAACCTCGCGAGCGCCCGAATAAGGGCAAAGTTACGCGTAGTTTCTGGATCGGGGACGAGTGACGACGACGACGACGACGACGACGACGACGACGACGACGAGCACCCATCCGGAGATTGTGACGAGAGGGGAGGGTTGTGTGAAATGACTTACAGCGGAAGTACGTGGGATACGATCCGTATCTATTTTAAAGAGGGGAAACCGGAGAAGTCGAAGTAGGTGGAAGAGACGCGCACCAGCAAGTTCTTTCTGAGAGCAATCGACTCCGTTCACGGGGAAAAAGACGGGGGGGGAAGGAACGGGGGTGTGTGCCAAAGTGCGGGGGACGATCACATTTACTGCGCGCTTCGACAGATGGTACATCATCCGCCCGCTCTCGCTCGTCGTGACGACGCGCGGTTATGCAATCAGAATTCCACCTGGCGCGCGACAATATCCGAATAATGCGCGCGTCTCCCATCTAATGAATAAAAATCGAACGAGTCTTGATATTCTTTGACGAGGCCGCGTCCGACGAGTTTGTTCAGCGAATTAACCAAACATTGAAAGTCGATTGAGAGAGAGAGAGAGAGAGAGAGAGAGAGAGAGAAAGAGAGAGAGAGAGAGAGACCGTTTGCTAATAATCGCGAACATGTACTTTTCGATATTTACGAAAAGCAGATTTCAATCAGTCCTTGCACAATCCATTGTTATTTCGGTAATTCGCAAATACAAAAAAAAGGGGTGGATAAAAAACCTAGAAAATAAATAAATTATACAGCGCGCTAAAAAATTACGGTCGTTTTTTCTTCCTTCTTTCTTTTTTTCGAGTAGATATCGAAACGCGAGCATAAGTACATCGCGAGCACTACAAACAATTGAATCCGGCTGTAATTTGATATGCGTGTACGCGGGCGTGTAAAATTCAGCTGAATAATTTTCCATACAGGTATCAACGATACGTACTCCGAAGTACGTACGTACGTACGTATACGCCGGGCTCCCGCCGAGCCCTTACGTCCAGAGAGCGCCCTACGTGCTCGACAGAGAAGAACGTGCCAGAGGCAGCTCTGGATTGGTAATCCAACCTACCACGGTTCGCTCGAAGGGAAGATATAGAGAAAGAAGAAAAAAATACATTTTAGCTCGCATCCAGGCACACTGCAGCCAGTTTCATCCCCCTCCTCCACTCCCCCTTTCCTCCCCACATCGCTCGTCCCACACTCAACCACCCACTCTCACCCACACCCGCTCTTTCTCTTCGTGTGTGCACCCCTCGGTCCTCCTTTTCCTCCCGCGTCCAACTCCCTTTACGCCCTTCTTTATCTCTCCGTCTCTTCCTCCCCCGCGCGCGCTCGCCGTGAGGCATACGCGCGCGTGTACGCGCGTGTGCGCACGTACGTGAGTACGTGGTCGAGCCGATGGTCGAGAAGAGCGTCCCGATAGAAAAAGGATGCCGACGCGCGGCGTCGGTAGGTGGTCGGGTAGTCGTGAAAAAAAAAATCAAAAAGATAGGAGCCGGGTAAAAGAAGAGGCGGGGGTGGAAGGCAGGGAAAAATGAAAGGGAGGAGAGAGGTGGGCGAACGAGAGGAGGAAAAGGGTGGAGGATAGACGGGAGGAGGGGCGAGAGAGATCATGTGCGTATGTGCGACACGAGAGAAAAAGAGAGAAAGAGGGAGAAAAAAAGAGAGAAAGAAAGAGAAAGAAAGAGAGAAAGAGGGAGATGGAGCGGATGCTCGAGGCGGTATTCCGATGGCGGGGAGCGGCGCATGGGCAGCCGTTGGAGGAGGGGGGAGAAAAAAGGTGTAAAAAATACCGGAGCCGAGGAAACGGGAGGAAAAAATCGGGCCGTCTCTACGGAGGCGGCGGGGGTATGTAGAGAGAGGAACGGGAGGAAGATGGAGCGGAGACGGGAAGGGGTGGAAGAGAGGAGCCGGCGGAGGAGGGCGAGCGGAAGAAGGATGGCGGACAGGCACGAGGGAGAGGAAAAATCGGGGTACGGTGAAAGGAGAAAAATCGAGAGCGCGCGAAAGACGAAGAGATAACAAGAGAAAGGGGACGCGGCGGGGATGAGAAAGAAAGAGTGAGAGCGAAAAAGAGAGAGAGAAAGAGAGAAAGAGAGAGAGAGAAAAAGAGAGGGAAGAAAAGAGACAATCGGGAAAGACGAGTGGAACGACACGAGGGAGGAAGAAAAGGGATGAGGCTGAGAGATGAGGAGAAGGACAGACATTTAAAGAGAGGGATGGCGAAGAACGGCGCGAAGGTGAAGGGGGGTTGGAAAAAGCGGGACCAAAACGGAAAGGGAAAGAAAGAGAAAGAGAGCGGCCCACACCGTGCACATGCGTGACCGTCCGTCCGCGTACGAGGCGGCGGGTATTGATCAGCCAAAGAGCGCCACGACGCCGGGCGTCCTTTTGCGAGCCTTGCTTTTTTCGGCACGACGGGAGCGACGAGGGGGGTGGCAAGGGGTCGCGCGCCGTTCGTAGGAGGAGGACGGGCAGAGAAGTCGATGGTTGAGGCGGCGGTGGTGTTCCGGGGAGGTAAAGGGGGCGGGATGCAAGGAGTGCCACGACCTAGCCCAACGAACTAGCCCGGCGTGACGTCATTCTTTTTCTTTGCTCGCGCGTCGCGACGCGGCGTCGCGGCGCGGGCCGACTCCTGGAAGGAGGATCGTAAAAAAGTCTTGGAGAGCAGAATTGTTTTTGTCCCATCGATATCTTCGCGATCTTATCGTCGCGCGAGTTACGCGACTCGCGGGCTCATTCGAGACGCCGCATTTTGTTCGTCGCCCCGACGATGCGGTTTGTTTACTGCGGATGCACGTGGTCCCGAGATCCGCGTTGCGATGTAGGCGCGCGAGAGCGATTTTTAAAACGCAATCCCGCGTGCCGTCCGGTTTAGCTCGCGATAAGAGAGAGATGAAGAGAGAAATGAAAAAAAAAAAAAAAAAAAAACACTTATTTGCGTTTCGCAACACATATTTTTCATCAAAATCAAGATAACTCTCAACTAATTTTCGGACGGCGACAGTGGCTATACAATTCTCTCGCGTATTATGCAGATAAGACAGTCTTGGCCTGCGTATACGCGTTACGTATAAATCTCGTAACGAGTCGAATGCAAATTATATTGGTACATTACATATAGTAGAAACTACGGAGGCTGTCTTGCTTGTACGTAGCGAGCGGAACGGATGGAAATTCGCTCTGTCGATCTATAACTACGGCCTTTCGCCTCGTCTTCCGATACAAGATGTATCCACTTAAATTATGCACATCCCATTTATCAGCCGATTTCGAGAGTTTACTCAATTGAGAATTTAATCTACACACAAACAGCAAGGATTGATAAGAACGACAAAACTCATCCGAAGAGAAAATTTACAAAAGTTCACAGGAACGCAGAAATTTAAAAAAAGATTATATCACTCCAATAGGTGAAGCTCTCGCGCGCACAAGTGCGTTTTTATCGCGTATCACTTTAGCGAATTATTTCTCTCAAGTCGTCCGCTATTTCGCAAAACCTTTTTGTTTTTGTTTTTAACGAGCCGCTTTTGTGCGCAAAGTGAAAGAGAAACTACACGCATCCGTCGATGTTGTAACACCGTCTCGTACCGATAACAGAATCTCTCCGGACCGATAACAGAATCTGCGAACAAAAAGTTTCGCAGGTTCGACGATTCGCGATCGAGAGGAACCTGTCGCCTCGCGGAGTGACAGAAATGTCTTGGAGAAAAGGAGTTCCCGACCCCAAACGAGTCCCAATGGACACGCGGGATTCCAGGAATGACGCGAAAGAAGGGAGTGAAGAAACGAAGCCCGGGCCGTCGTTCCGCGGTAACCCGACCAGAAGCTCGGATTTCCACTCTGATAGAGCAGGACTGGAGATCGTCTCGCCGATGAACGCTCGACGGTTACTCC